ATGGCGGCTTGAACTTCTGGGCGACTGAAGTAAATCTCGGCGCCGGAGGGCATCCAGGCAAACATGCCCGGCCTTCCCAAGACATCCCACGGAAACGGACATGTGTCAGTTACGTGGTAGACGTTGAAGCAGGGATTGAGTTCGCTGGCGGCGTCAAGAATATCGGGCCAGATGTGCTCACAATCTTGTGACAGCCCAGGAAGGTCGTCTTCCAAAGGAAAAGGGCCCGGTGGTGGAAAGGTGAAATACTTGGCGAGAAAAGAGTCGTATCCACAAGCATCAGCGCGAGCGTCGAGGCTGGCCCGAAAGGTGTCGTTGAAAGCGAACACCGCACTCCAATGCCTGGCAAAGGGAACAACTGAGAAGTCCTGCAAGTACCCAGACGCAAATAAAGGATCATAGATCATCATGCCGGTCACGTTGTAGTAAGTGGTGTCGTTCCGATCCAGCATGGCGCTGGCAAAATACGGGCAGTACTGGCCCCTGTTTGACTGGGTTAGAACTGACCAACTGCCACAGGACGGGAAAGACACTCACGCGTAAGACTCCCCGGTGATGTAGACGTTGAATCCATGCAACTTAAAAGTATCGACAAAGTTCTTCCAGAAGCCGAGAAACTGGGCAGCAATGTCCTCCTCACTTAGTGCCGTGACATCTCCCCGGGAGAATCCAGTCCCGACTGGTTGCTCGATGTATACAATGTGTGCCAGTTTGTGCCAGCTATAGTTGTTTCTGACAGGTCTAAATGTTCCGGGTTGCCAGATAAGTGGACCATGCTCATCTATGAGGCCAAGAAGTGAAGAACAGCCGGGCTTGATTTGTGTTAGCAATGTCAAGTGTCCAGTGGCAACAATACCATGGACTCATACACCGCCATTCAACCAGATGACAATATCACGGACTCTGGTCGCGTTCGGCGAGATTGTGGGAAAGAACCAGAAGAACAAGTTGCTCGTTTCGTTGGCATCTGCGCTAATGGGCAACGAGCCAGCGTACGACTCGCCGATATTGAAATGAACGTCAGGGATGGCGCTTCCATTGACCGCGAACCCTGGCAAAGAAAGGGTCAGTCTTGCTTTGAGCGTAGATACCACGGGCGCCTTACGAGAACTGTTGGCATTTAGGAACGGCGACTCGCCCAGGTTTGGCTCGGCGGTGGTGGCAATATGAGGCCTGTTGATCTGATGATGCAACAGTCTGTTGGCTGCTGTAATTTTCTTCTCCCAAAGACTCATGTGGGAAAAAGCCTCGAGGGTAAAGATTGAAAGCCATATGGCGAGAGAACTCAACATGATGCGCATTTTGAAGGGAGGCATTGTGTCTTGCCCTCCAATCGGTGTATGAATGAGAAAGACAGAGTGAGAGGGTTGGGCAGGACACTCGCGCCTTTGGAGGAGAATGTAGGCACAAATGAGATTGCTATTGCAGTCACGGATGTTTCGTAGTCGAGACGGAAGGAGCGAAGGACCTCCAAGGAAGTCGACTTCAGATACTCCGGCCGTGACGGTTCTCAAGCGACGCAAGGTTCTTTTTCGTACTTCGCTCCTTCTTCATTGATCTCGGGTCAGTTCAGTTGGCAACAATCCTCATCCCTCCCATGGCCATAGTGTGCTCTCTGTCATAGCAGCTGACAGAATATGCGGATGTCTCCTGTTGTTCGCAGTGTATTGTTGACGTGGCATGTTGCTCCATAGTTTCAGTGGCACCTGGAGACCCGTCAATGAATGACAGAGCCGTTCCGGTGGAACATGACCATCGGAGGGAGGCATCGCCCAGAGGGCAAGTTTGCCCCCTGAAACCTACGGAGCTCGGTTGGCACACCTGTGATAAACAACACGACCGTAAGCAACGGGTCAAAGTGGGGTTAGATTAGGAATATCCAGGCCACTATGCACCGTGCACGTGTCACGAAGGCGGGTTTGGTGTTCGGATCCAGACGGTTGCTGGTGGCGTATTTCACAGGTTTGCTCTGATCGTACTAGCGGATTTCGGCCGAGTAACCAGCAACAAGAATGCCGAGTGCTAATATACCGAGGCAAGATTCAAAATTGGCGGGATCTTTCTCGATATGGGTCTGAAGGTAGATTTAGATAGACACATAAAATACAGGTGGTATACACTTTGTACATCCGGGCTGGACGAAGGAGGTTGCCTTGTCAAACTTTCGTTTTCTTTGCCTGCTGCTTACCGCCTTTACCTGACTCTTGGGCGGATTTTATCTGAGCGGCAGCTTCCTCCTCCTCGGCTAGTGTTTGGACATCTTTGTCTAGAAGCCAGCGCTGGACGATGCCCATCAGCTTGTCAAACACATCTCCCCCCTCCAACACGCTGGGAAGGTTGTGAAGATCCACGCCGGCGCGATGATCAGTACATCGGTCCTGATTGAAGTTGTACGTTCTGATCTTGTCTCCGCGTGTGATCTGTGACCGAGAAAGCACGCTGTCCCTCAGCTGGCGAGCTGCCTCCTCACGGGCTTCACGCCGCTGCTGGGCAAGACGTGACCGTAGCAAGTTCCAGGCCGCTTTGCGATTTGCATGCTGTGACCGCTGGTCCTGCATACTGACCGTTATCCCTGACGGGATATGGGTCAAGCGGATGGCCGACTCGGTTTTGTTGACGTGCTGTCCACCAGCTCCACCAGCTCGCATCTTTTCGCTGCGAACTTCGTCTGGGTTGACGTAAAAGTCACTCTCGGGGTTATCCCATTCTGCCTCGGCTTCGTTGCCTTCGGGAAACGAGGGCAACACCCACACTGCCGCGGCGCTGGTGTGTGTTCGCCCGTTCTTCTCGGTCGCTGGGATACGCTGGACGCGGTGCATCCCGGCCTCTCCCCGGAAGAGGTTATAGGCGCCAGGCTCTTGCACCTCGAGGACGGCTTCCTGAAGCGCCACCTCACCCTGTGACCCCTTTGAGCCATCGCTCTCCTGGACCTCAAACTTGACGATCCTGGTGCGATATCCCTTATTGGCGCAGTATGACTGGTACATGCGAAACATCGTCTCAGCAAAGAAGCGCCCCTCTAAACCACCGGGGCCTGGCCGTATTTCCAGCAGGCATGGCATCTCCGCGAATGGATGTTTCGGCGTCATGAGTTCCGTCAACTCCTGCGAGGTCGTCTCTAGCTTCTGTGTTGTCTGCTCCAAGTCATCTTGGGCCAGCTCGCGCAACTCGGGGTCGTCTGACGCGATGAGGCTGTTGAGTTCGTCGAGGGAGGACCTTGCTTTCTCGTACTCCTTTAAAGAGTCAACAATCACCGAGTCCTTGCGCATGCGCTTGAGCACATCCTTTTGGGTCTTGTTGTCGTTGAACGTGAGACCATCCCCTTGTTCTAGTTTCTTGAGCTTTTCATACTCTGTTGCAATGTTTCGAGCTCGGTCGAGGAGGAAAGCAGATATCCCACCGGGTGCGGGCGCTGCAGATCCGTCAGAGTGTGCCCAAAGACCAGTGTAGCGTGCGATTTCTCAGAACGAACCTGTACTGGCTCTGCGCAAGAACTGGGGGACTCTTGCGCGCCCCAGCGACCGCGCGCAGCTTCGACACACCCATGGAGCTGCTGGCATAATCGCGATCCCATCGAGAAGCACAACGGCAGAAATTTGGAGCTCTCGGATTGAGTTGTCTCCAAACCGTAAAGCGCCAAGACCGCACCAAATGGCCGGATCCCTGCAGAACCCCACATATCTCGGCTAGACCCCTTTCTCAGCCAACGGAACCTCCCGGGGGTACCGCATTGAACGCTGCTGAATTTTGAGGCGAGGTGGCATCTGGTTAGGGGACCCAGTTCCATTTGTGACAGCTGTTTCTCAACTCCATCACCACGCGACCGACCATCAACTTCCCACGAACCCCCCACGACCACACCCTTTCACCATCATCGTCGAGCCGTCTTTATCTCAATTCCGCTCCATACCACACATCAGTCACCATGTCGGACCAAGTGCAAGAGATCCTTGACGTGCCGCGCGAGTTCCTCAAGGATGGCATCCAGTTCATCAACAAGTCCCAGAAGCGTAAGCGACAGCAGCCGACGCGAGCACGCCCGAGAGTCAATTACTAACATCGTGTTTGCAGCTGACCGTCGGGAATTCATCAAGATCTCGCAAGCTGTTGGTGTCGGCTTCCTGAGTACGTTGCACCAAAGCCTCTCGCTCAAAACTGTCCACTAACGTCGCGAATAGTCATGGGCGCCGTCGGCTACGTCGTCAAGCTTATCCACATCCCCCTCAACAACGTCCTCGTTGGCGGCGCGTAAACAGCCCAAGGCGCAAGCGGTGTTGCAGCGATGCGAGGAGCAGAGAGGCGGTGGGGTCCAGTCTGGAGATCTACGGCCGGGCATAGATAAAAAATCATATATTGGATGAGGCAGACAAAGCCAGCGCAGTCGTGTTGAAAACATGGACACGGAGACTCGACTTGAATGGCGGGGAGGATGGGCGGAAGATATCCGATGCGGGCGTTTGGCTTGGGTTGGGCCTGCTTAATGTATTGCCACAAGACGTGTCTTGTTTTGTAGGTAATTGTACAATTTTGGACATTTGGGGGTGTTCATGTGCATCAAGTAAAGTGGTACGAATAGCGATGATTTTGCAACTGGAGGGCTACCTAAGTGTGTTTGCTCGGATAAGACTACTGGGCGGACTTTCTCGAGCTTGGAAAATGTCACCTGGCATTGAACTAACGTCTGGCTACGGGAGGCATTGGGTTCCATGTTTATCACAAAGGTGCCCGTCGTCCGTGCTCTGACGTTCTTAGATGAGACACCCCCGGTCTTGGTGTAACTGGAGACATGACAGCCTGCTTGGGGTGGGATGCGGTGTTGAGTCCTGTTAGGTCCATTACCTCCCCGTCGATTGCTTATCTGGTGGGCTCATGAATTCAATGGTGAATGATCGCGAACTATCAATGGCGGATGTTGCTTGCGTTCGGTGATTGAATGCCGAGGTGCATCCTCCTGGCGAGTTAGCTTGGTTCTCGCCGGTTTGACAACATCAATCATCGAAGGCCTCATAGCGTAATGGTTAACGCGTTGCTTTCCGGTGGCAAAGAGTCCAGGTTCGAATCCTGGTGGGGTCGTATATTTTTGATATTTTTGACCCCCTTTATGGGGTTGTGATGTTCGGGGTGGATCTTTTGGTGGTGATGGTTGTTTCGGAGTGTTCCTTGACGGATGATGGGTGTACCCCACTCGGATTGAAATGTTAGGTTGGTGGGAGACCAAGCGGTAGTAAATGTGTCGGCACCAGCGACTGTTGTGACTCTGAGGGTCCAGGGTTTGGCCTTGTGAAGCTTAAGATGCCCTCGAATAATGGACTGGCATTGGAGAGATACAGCGGGTATTGTGCAGTACAAGACCACCATCATCTAGAGCTTTGAATCCTTCAACGAGCCGACGTCATCGGGGCCATACACAATCTTTTGATCCAAGGCCACGGTCTGTTCTACCTTTTCCAGCGCTCCCTGTCCAGCAAACCCCCTTTTGACCATGTATCTCGAACCCATGGTCTCAACCTCTGGCCCGGGATTAGATGCAACGTCAACGAGCCACAGGCCGGCGATCAACACCTCAGCCATCTTGAACGTTACAGCCCTCGCCTCGGGCAGAATCTCAGCTTGAGCTTCCCTTGCCAACCTCTCCTTGATGCATTCCCATTCCTTGACGATGTTGGCCTTCACCTCATCCCAGACACCTGTCAGGGGAACAGAGATAGCCTTCTGAACAGTCCAATCCACTGCCTCGGTACACTGTTTGCCGATAGACGGGTGCTTGATGGCCCGGACCGTATCACTGGCCAAGACATCCGTTGTGCCTTCCCAAATGGCACCGACACACGCATCGCGGAAGATGCGCGACACATTAATGTGCTCCGACTCGGCGTTGAAGAGATAACCCACACCGCCCAATGCCTCCATACAAGCGTAAATGGCCGGGACAATATTCTCGCACACATATGATTTGTGGAGGGAGCTCAACACCCGGAGCAGAGGGGCAACCAGATGGGGAGGCGGGGCCAAGCAAGATAAGGGGGAAGGCGGTGACGGCGATGTAGTAGGCCTCTCATCCAGACCGAGGATGTAGAGCGTGTAAAAGACAAGCAGCATCAGTGAATGGTAGTCGGTGGTGAGGTTTGCGAGCGTGCGCATGTGCAAGGGGTGGGTAGCGAGGGGGAGGCGACGGCCTTTCCCGATGCCGGCCTCGCGGACGAGAGCAAAGGAACGGGCGATTGCGAGGCTGCGGCCAAAATACCCAATCGACGAGACGGTGGTGTGGACGCGGGTGATGTTGAGGATGGTGCTGATTTCGTGGATGCCGTTTCCTTCCTTGCCAATGAGCCAGCCCCGCATATTCTTGAGCTCGAGCTCCGCGGTGGGAAGGGACTGGGTACCAAACTTGCTTTTCAGGCGCTGGATGGTAATTCCGTTCAGCTCGCTGCCGCCCTTTTGGCCGGTAGGGGATACGAGGGAGGGGTTGTGACGCCGCATAGGGGCCATGAAGGCGCTGACGCCCTTGGACGGGTGCGTCTTGGCGAGGAGGATGGTCATGTGGGAATCGGTCGCCGACGAAAACCACTTGAAGCCTGAGATGGACCAAGGCCCGAGAGGCGTTTTCTCGTCAGCGTCCGCTAGGGGAGTCTCGGCTGACGAAGGGTACGGGTCATAGACGGCGACTGTTTCGGTTTGGGAAACGTCACTGCCACCAGTGCGTTCGGTCATCCACTGTCCACTTGTCCACGTCTTCTGGGGGTCACGAGAGGTGAGGTGATCGTAGGCGTTCTGGAAGACACTGCGTTGGGTGGGAGACATATCGCAGTCCTTTTGGGTGAGATGGCGTTGGAGGAGACGCGCTGCTCCATCCTGCATCGCTGCCGGGCAGAGCGTGTTTGCGCAGGAGCCTTCCCACAGGTGGCATCTTGTAAACTGGACGAGGCGGTTGTACTCGTGGAAATCGGAGTCATAGTTGATGGCAACCACGCCCTTCTTGAAACCGAAATCCTGCAATCCTCTCCATCCTTCGCCAACGACCAGGTCGTTTTTGGGTCTCCCAAAGGCATCTCGTCCACTGCCGCGGAGATAAGGTTGGTTTTTCTCAGCATCAGTCACCCAATCGATGATCTGTTGTGAGAGAACTTCTTCTCCCAGTTCGGATATCTCGGTGTCAACCCTTTCCAGGACGGCAGGAGGGAGGGAGACTGGAAAGAGTAAATATTGTGGAAGATGGAGGACACGGGGAACGCACGCTTGACAACACGCTTCAGACTAATATCGTCATGGTATTGGTTTTTGATGACGGGCTGTGTTTGGATGAAGCCCGTGTTGGAGCTTGAGGGTTCCATTGTCAGCAGGTGTGAGCTGAGGGATGTATCCTTGAGCTTCTGTGGTGCGGAAATGAGATCAAGTTATTTCATCCCACGGGAGGAAAGGAATACGATGTTGCTCATTGGGATACATCGAGATGTGTATGGTCCCATTTGGGGAAAGCACCCGTCCTCCGGCCATCACGCCCGTCGCACTGAGCCGAGGCTCAGGTGCCCGCCTTGCTTGGTCGTCGTCAACCATAGCGCTTGCACAGCGGCTTTGTTCCGCTCTCGTGAATTGCGGGGAACCCTGCCCCCAAGCCAGGGCACCTGATAGGGTTAGGGTTCATACCCCGGTCAAGGTCATGTGCTCTCGCTTTGCCAACGCGATTTTGGCTCTGCATTTTCCACTTTCAACCCCTGGAGGTAAGGATGCGACGCGTCGCGACCCTCGACCACGCGCCCCGTCACTGTTGGTATCTAGTCACCCACCATGACGACTGCAGTAATTGAGATTTCGGACGATGACGACGCTCCAGCTGTTTCCTCGTCCAAAACACTCGGCAAGCGCAAACCAGCCTCCGATTTTGAGGAAAAAGTTGCCTGGACCGATGACGAGGACGAAGAGACAGAGGAGTTGAAACGCCGCGCAAAATCCAAGCGGCGAGCCACAGAGAAAGAGAAGCGACAGGCCAGGGGTAGACCACCAGGGAAATCCAGTGGCAGCTCCAAGCCCCAGGCCAAGCCCAACAAGGCTATCAAGACCGAAGACGATTTCGGCGAGGCAGTGGTTCCAGATTACCTCCGGGAGCGACGGCTGAAATTCAACTCTGACCGAAAAAGGCTGAGAGAAGCTGGGTTGAAACTGCCCCCAGATTACAGTGATGTCTACTTCTCCGACGATGAGCGAAGGCCAGCTCAGCTTGATCAACGCCCCAAGTTTGATGCCAAAAGTGGCGTCAAACCATCACGGGCACACAAGAAGATTGAGCTGAAGCATTCCGCTGGCGTGGTTCCGGCATCGATTGCCCAATATCTCCGCGATTACCAAATTGAAGGAGCCAAGTTCCTTCACGAGCGTTTTGTTTATCAGACAGGATGCATACTTGGCGACGACATGGGTTTGGGGAAGACGATTCAGGTGATTGCATTTCTCACCGCAGCCTTTGGGAAAAGTGGGGACGAGCGAGATGGGAAAAGGATGCGGAAAATGCGTAGGGTTGGCGCTTGGTATCCCAAAGTCCTCATTATTTGCCCGGGGTCCTTGCTTCAAAACTGGAAGAACGAACTGGAGCGTTGGGGTTGGTGGCATGTCGAAATCTTTCACGGGGCCGGAAGAGAAGATGTCCTTCGTGCAGCAAAGGCTGGAAGAACCGAAATCATGATCACGACATACGTCACGTACAAGAAGTCCCACGAGGCCGTCAACGAGGTCGAATGGGATTGTGTCGTTGCAGATGAGTGCCACGCCATCAAGGACCGCAAGTCGGAGGTCACACAAACGATGGACCAGTTGAATGCAATGTGCCGAATTGGCCTGACCGGAACGGCTATTCAGAACCGGTATGAAGAACTTTGGACATTGCTCAACTGGACGAACCCTGGACAGTTTGGGAGCCTCGCGGAGTGGAACGATAAAATCACCAAACCCCTGAAGATCGGTCAATCGCACGACGCCACCCTCCAGCAATTGAGTCTGGCTAGAGTGACAGCAAAGAAGCTGGTTCAGAACCTGCTTCCCAACTTTTTCCTCCGACGAATGAAGACTTTGATCGCCCATCAGCTTCCAAAGAAAAGCGACAAGGTGGTCTTCTGCCCTCTGACTGAGCTACAACGAGAGGCCTACGAGAGCCTACTGGAGAGCCCAACTCTCACGATTCTCAAAACCGTTTCGGAGCCTTGTATGTGCGGCAGCAAACGCAAAAGGGGCTGGTGCTGTTTCAAGAATCTTCCCGATGGACGACCTTGGATCAAGGTCATGTTCCCCAGTATCTTGACACTTCAAAAAATCGCCAACCACCTCACTCTTCTCATCCCTTCCTCGACAGACCCAACCACAAAGCAAAAGACGGAGTTGGAGACGCTGAAAGAGTGCCTACCTGAGACATGGGAAGATTTGTATCGAAATCGCGACTCCATGCTCACTCTGGCCAACCCTGAGTTTTGCGGCAAATGGAAGATCCTTCGCAAGCTCCTTCGGCTTTGGCATGAGAACGGAGACAAGGTGCTTGTATTTTCGCACAGCGTTCGTCTCCTGAGAATTCTACAGCATCTATTCCACAACACGAGCTACAACGTCAGCTTTCTGGACGGATCGCTTCCTTATGAAGACCGTCAGCGTGTTGTTGACGACTTCAACGCTGACCCAAACCAATTTGTTTTCCTGATTTCGACAAAGGCAGGGGGCGTTGGTCTCAATATCACATCCGCAAACAAAGTTGTTATCTTCGATCCACATTGGAACCCAGCGTACGATCTGCAAGCACAGGATCGAGCTTACAGAATCGGCCAGACGAGGGACGTGGACGTGTTTCGGCTCGTTTCGGCTGGGACGATAGAGGAGATTGTCTATGCACGACAAATCTACAAGCAACAGCAGGCAAACATCGGATACAATGCCTCGAATGAGAGACGCTATTTCAAGGGCGTACAGGCGGATAAGACCCGAAAGGGCGAGATCTTTGGTCTCGCGAATCTGTTCAGCTTCCATGCGGACCAAGTTGTCCTACGAGAAATTGTGAACAAAACGAATGTCGCCGAGGCTAAGGTTGGCGTGAGCCT